TGTTTCACTTCTGTCTTAATTTGCATTATTTCTTGTGATGGTTCCTTGAAGGGTAGTTACCATGCGAAAGGGTATGAACAGGTTTGAGTCTCTTGCTAGTGCTAGATGGCTGCCCAGAAAGGCTGCACCAGTGACACAGGGAACGGGCTTTTTAGAGACATTTTCTTTGCATTCAGCAGGAACAAAAACACTCTTTGCCCGCTCTTTTTGAGCAAAAGTTAATGGAAATTGGCTGTTTCCCTGCCGTTATTTAGTCCAGTACAGTATATAAGCTGTGTGTTGACTGGGCCCAGCTTCATTTTTCTGGGTAGATGCTGTTTCAGCCCTGTCTCTGCAGATTAATGGGACGCACCTGATCTCTTTTGCATGGCCATAACCACATGTGGGTCACATTTGGGTACCATGGCCCTTTCCGTAAGCTAACTGTGCTTTAGAGAAATTACCACTAATTAGTTTCTCCTTTACACACAAGACTGAGGGAGATTGAAGGAAGGACTGTTTAAACCGCTGCAAAATTCATTCATTCTAACAGACAAAATAACATTTACTTGGTGAATGTTGAGATTGTACAGAATATTTTTCTTTATAAGTCTAAAGCTTTCCTTGGGAGATCGGGGTCATCTATTGAAAGTTCCCTTAACTTCCTTTCTTTTGGTCTCAGAAGTTTTAAAGTATTTTTAATCCATTTTCTCATTCATTTTTATATGTTCCATTCATGTAAACCCATTTTAATCTGACTTCTGTCTTCACCCAGCCATTGAAATTGCCCTGTTGATGGTCGTCTTGTCAAATAGTTCTTTACTTTGCCCCCTGCCTAACATCTTTGCTACATTTGATCCTGTTGGCCAATTTCCTTTCCATCCTTTTCTGTTTTCCCACTTTCTCTTCTCCCTTCCTCTTCTGCCTGGTGTCAGGTGTACTGCTAGCCTCTGAGTGCGCGGTCATTTGGGAAAGAGAGGGGTTGTGTGTCTTCTACTCTCAAGAACCACATAGTCTAGCAGGAAGACAGACAGTTGGTAATAATACAGCATATTAAGAATTGTATGTACAGCGGCCCTTGGTTCAGAAATAACCTTGGTTTCCTTCTAGAAACTTCCTGTCCTAGGTTCTGTGAGAACCCTTTGGTTCTTTTACTCTTTATATATCCTTCTTAAAGAGGATAATTGCCAAGAGCTCTGTCTTTTGCCCATTTCTGCTGTTACTCTCACTTTCCAATGGGTTCTTATACATGCTTACGACATTAACTCTTAACCTCTATACAAACAAATCCCAAGGTCTCCATTGCTAGTACTGAGCTCTTACCTTATTTGCAAACCTCAGACTGGGTCCTAGAAATTGTAAGATGGCTCTGTCACCCGTACTTAACTTCAACACGTCCAAAGTTGTTTCCCTCTCGAACCAAAGACAGACATGTGGAAATCATTTGGACAAACAAATAAAATTCATCCCATGTTCTCTGTCTCAGTGGTATTGCTTTCTCTGTTACCTGGTCTCTAGAAGTCTATGGGCCATTTTTAACCTTTGATTCAACTTATCTTGTGTCTTACGTACTAGACAATGAGTTGAGTGCATTATGAACAGGATGCGGTGTAATCCTTTTACTATGAGGTAGGTATTATTTTCTGTATCTATACATGAGAAGCTTGAGGGCCGAAAAACGTCAAATGCTGTGTCCAAGGATAATACACAGAGTGCCCAAGGGGCCGGCCTAGGGTTACAGCCCATGGGTGTCTCTGCTCAGTGTGGCCTTTGCCCGTGATATTGTACTGACTCTTTTCATGGTCCGTCTCACTATCGCTTATGTGCCAAAGTTAACACATTTAATATTCACATTTGTACGTTTGTTACTTTCAGCGGCTCTATAATCCACATATATTTGTGACCAGAAGGTATTCTTAGTAATGTGGAAGAACTTTTCAGTGAGTTAAGCTAAAACAGGGCTCAGCAAACTTTTTCTGTAAAGGACAAGATAATAAGTATTTTAGGCCTTGAGGGCGGTACAGTCAACTATTCAGCTCTGACTTTGTAGTGGAAAAGCCTCCACAGACAATATGTAAACAAATGGGCATCACTGGGTTCTTCCAAACGTTATTTTCAAAAACAGGGCATGGGCAGTTTGGGCCCGCAGGTCCTGAGTTGAATGGTATTTCATTTCCACCATCTAAGCGAATGTGTTTTCTTTGATTTATTCATGCATGTATTTAAAATGCATTGAGGTATAATCTAAGTTGCTCAGTTAAGGTAGAAGTTAAGATAGGTAATTACAGAGAAGTAATTTGAATGTAACAGTCTTGGGTCTGTTTTGACTGAGAAATAATTGAGTTGCTCAGAGTTCTGAACTTGGTTCACAGGTAGATGTATGAGTTTTGCAAGTTACAAGATCTAATTGAGGCCTAGATTCTTTGTAAAATAATAAGAGTAATACTTGCCTCACAGAGCTGTTGGAAGGATGAAATGGAAAACCACTTTCCATAGAGGCAGGACCATGGTCGGCGTTATCTTTCTGGGTCTCTTGTATTTTCCAGATGGACTTTCTCACAGAGAAACTTGACAGAGGAAAGAAGAAAGGCATTTACTTTTCAGATGGCAGTGGGAAATCTAGCATAGTCATTATTCTCTCTCTGTAAGAGATGATAATAAAAAAAAACAAATTGTTTTGGGTGGGGAGAAATGACAGATGAGGGCTGAGCAGATAGATTGAAAAGTCTGAAAACAAGGACAAGAAAAGTAAACTTTCCTTAGCAAGCTAGGGGTGGGGTCAGGAGGACCAAGAAAGGACGTGTGGATGGGGCACCTCGGTGGGAGCAGAGCCTGGGGGTGCAGGTGGGCATGGGCATGTGTGGAGCAGAAACAGAAAAAAGGGGGGTCGGCAGCCCATGAATACGGCCTCAGGAACACCTTCCCTGGAAGAATCCTGAGCTTGGTGATAGCACATGGCTTTGGAAGGGAGAGATGCTTGTCGTGTCTTGCCAAGGGCGCTGAGCTGGGACGCTGACAACCGACCAGCGTGACTTAGTGCTGAGACGCAGGAGGCGGCACGGGCATATTTAAAATTTATATCCACTGCAGTGACAGGCCGCTGAGCACTGTGGAGGGGGGAGATGGATTTCCACTGAAGTGCAGCCAAAAACACTTTTCGCAACAGCTCTGACAAAATAGTGCCATAAATGAATAAACCCACAGAGTTTCTGGGTATCTTTGAGAGCTTCTAACGTGACGGCCGTCTCAGACCAAGGGGCTCTCTCCAGGTGTCACATGTGGTTTAACTCGGATCTTGGAGGTCTCGGTTCCATGGGCTGGGTGGGCTGTGCTGTTGGGTACATACCCGCTGTGCTTTGGATGGTCGCGTGGAGCAATGTCCTTCCCTCCTAATGCAGTTTATTAGCATGAAGTTAGGCATTTTCTTGGTATGATTGCAGAGTCCTGGAAGTCAAATCACTACCTGGTTGTGTGCTTTATAGTAGCCCAGTGGGTAAAAATGCCACGTTTTAGAAGATGTTATTTGGCAGATTTAAGTTCATGGTAAATTTTTTATGAACCTAGGGATTTGACCTCTAAAGATCTTCATGCCTGAGATCCCCGAGTCAATTTAAACTTGCTCGTGGACCAGCAGAGAAGTATCCAGAATCCTTCAGTGTTGTCTTAACACTCCCTGTACCTTAGAGTTGGGGCCGCTATACCTGGATCTTTGTCACCTCATTTTTGATGTGAACAGCCTATGAGTGAGTTCCAGCTGTGAAATCTGGTCCTCTTCTTATTAAATTCTGGGCATTAAAAAGAAGATCTGGTCAATACGCTGTGTCCTGGCTGCTCTGCGTCTCTTCCCAAGTGAGTTTAGGCCTGCTCCTGGTTTCCTGTGGGTGCCCAGTAGAAAGTTGCTCTTTTACAAAAGAGACATGTAATTGATGGGATCCTACAATGGTATTAAGTTTAAATGACATGACCAGATGTGAGGACAGAAAAGATTTGCATCTATAAAAATAATTTCAGCTGTCCACTGGTATAGTCTATCACTCTGTGTAATATTTCCTTAAGTTTTTCATTTTTATTTTTAAAAAATCACATAAAAATAGCGATTACCTAAATTGGTGTATTTTATTGGAAACATCCAAAAGAAAAGCTTTGCTCATGTCATCCTGTAATATGGTGAACTAATCAGAAGTCACATGTTGTCAGGAGTGAGCAGAGCTTGGTGGTTAACGAGGGTGAAATGGGCAGGATGGCGTTTCAGACATTCTCCTTCCATCCTTCAGAGACATGACGTAATCATGGGTTTCCTTTAAGGAATGAGACCCCCAAAAGTAGTCAAAATAAAAGAAAGTCATGGGACTTCCCTGGTGGCGCAGTGGTGAAGAATCCACCTGCCAATGCAGGGGACACAGGTTCGAGCCCTGGTCTGGGAAGATCCCACATGCGTGGAGCAACTAAGCCCGTGAGCCACAACTACAGAGCCTGCACTCTAGAGCCCGCGAACCACAACTACTGAACCCACGTACCACAACTACTGAAGCCCACGTGCGAGAGCGCGTGCTCCACAACAAGAGAACCCACTGCAGTGAGAAGCCCACGCACCGCAACGAAGAGTAGCCCCCGCTCACCGCAACTAGAGCCCGCACGCAGCCAAAAACAAAACAAAAAAATAAATAAATTAAAAAAGAAAGAAAGTCATCACGTTGATAGTTTTATTCAGCGTGAGGGGTCCGGGACATGATGTGACCTGATAAGGGAAATTTTCTTTACACTCATGGATCTAAATGTCAGGGGAGGACAGCTAGAGATTAGGGATCTAAGCGTGACGTCCGTGATTCTCTTGATGTGGAGCAGAGGGTATAAGCCTCTGGGCAGATTTCCTTAATTGGCTGTTCGCTCTGAGTGGCGGAGGGGGAGGCAGACATCAGTAGGGTGGTGGGGAGCTGGTGGGAGACAGGGCCCTCCCGCCCCCCCCCCTTACTTTCTGCAGAGTGAAACATGACTGGTGCTTATGTGTGTGCTCTTTCCAGAACCCGTGAAAGGAGTTGCTGCGATGGTTCGCTGGGCTCTCAGGAGAGCTGCCCAGGTGCACGTCCACCTGGCGAGGAAGGCCAGCGGGGTCTGCCGAGGCCCTGAGCATCAGGCCTCGGGCGCGAGGCCCGCTGCCCCGGAGCCCGCCACCCGGGGAGCCCTCGGGGCCCCGGGCGGCGCGGTGGAGCTGCTGGGCAAGTCCTACCCCCAGGATGGCTACAGCAACCTGTCCCGCAAGGTCCTGTCCAGGGTCGGCAGGAACCTGCACAACCGGCCGCATCACCCGCTGTGGCTGATCAAGGAGAGGGTGAAGCAGCACTTCTATGCGCAGTACGTGGGCCGCTCGGGGACGCCTCTCTTCTCTGTCTACGACGACCTCTCCCCGGTGGTCACCACCTGGCAGAACTTCGACAGCCTGCTCGTCCCGGCCGACCACCCCAGCCGGAAGAAGGGCGACAGCTATTACCTGAACGCGACCCACATGCTGCGCGCGCACACGTCCGCGCACCAGTGGGACCTGCTGCGTGCGGGGCTAGACGCCTTCTTGGTGGTGGGCGACGTGTACCGGCGTGACCAGATCGACGCCCAGCACCACCCTGTGTTCCACCAGCTGGAGGCCGTGCGGCTCTTCTCCCGGCACCAGGTGAGTGCGGCCCCTCGTGGGCTTGGAGGATGGCCTGTGTGGTGTCGTGGAGGCCACTGCGGTTTATCTCAGCCAAGCCCCACGGGGTCCTTGACCGTGTTCTGCACCCGTGCGTTATCCATCCTGGCTGGCGTCCTCTTTGTAGGCGGAGCTCAGTGTTTTCTGGCTGATGTGTTGTGTCAGTAGCCGCAGAAATTGGCAGGCCTTTGTTTCCTTGTGTCAGTCCTTTTCCTTCCAGTCCCATCGTGCCTGTCTCTGGGTTTTTCCTTATGAGTGGGTAGTCAGTGGCTCACAGTTACCCCCAGTCCCGGATGACTCGAGATGCAGCCCTGAGACCCGAGGTCTGGTTACCCCACATCTCAGTTAGCGGAGGTTAATTACATGTTCCCGGTGTTAGGCGCGAATGAATTTCTTAGGTAGCCTGGGGACTGGTGGTTTAGTGGCTGAGACTGTAAGCTGTCTTCTTGTCCCGCACTCTGTCCTTACCGTCCCCTGCTTTACACTTGTGGGTGCTTGACATTTTCTCTTTTTGAGACATTTTCATTATTGCTCTTCTTGAAATACGTGTTTGGATGCATAGAGCCTTTTTGATCAGGAAATCTGATATTCCGGCCATTCTCAAAAGCACCCAACTCCTTGCACCTGTTAGCTGACGTCCTAATACGTTGTGCACAGCTTTTTTCTTTTTTTTGGCAATTTATGAATATTCCTTAAAGCTTGAGTCTATTTCCTAAAAAAGTGCAGTATCACTTGTCTTTCATTAACATATTTTAAAACCATCTCCGTTTTTATGTGAGAAACAAATGGAATTAATGAGGCATTACTCCTATAGTACTTCTTCCAAACACGTTCACTGAAACAGGGGGAATAATTGTCACAAAACTCCTTCCCACAAAACACCAGGTTAGTGGGTTGTCGGATATGAGCAGGAACAGTATAGGATCCTCAGGCTGGTGAGTAACCGCCGTGTGTTGTGTTACATGAGTCGTGTTTTAGGAGAGAGGGCCGTTAGCTTCAGGATGTGCTGCCTTCCTGGGAATTCAGAAATAGGTATTAGCTTTACACAAAAGGCCACCCAGGCTTGATCCCAGAGCTGCTTGGATGAGCGCTTTTGCTACTAGGAAAAGCTGACTATTTTCTGTGTTAGGAGTAATAACTATTAACAAGGATACAGATTTATTAGGAAACAAAAGGGAAATGGACAAAGACAGGTCGAAGTCTGGGAAATATGACCAAGTGATGGAATATCACCTACAGCTAATGAGCCAGCGGAGGTGTGACACCAGTGACAGGGTGTCCAGGTCACGGCAGTGGCAGGTGCATAGCCCAGTTTATCTCATTACAAAAATGAGCAAGGACGGTGCTCCCTGGTTGGTAAGCCTGCAAGCCGTGGGAATGGCAGAGGAGAGGAGGCTGCAAGACACACACTGGTGTGTTAGTGGTGGAAAAAATCCAGGCTCCCTTAGACGGTGGGAAACAGGGAGCGGGGAGGGAATTAACCTCATCTCATTTCACACTTGTGCGGGGTCTGGTCCAGTTTAGCGGGGAGCAGGCGCTAGTTAGAAAGATTCTGCTTCTAGTTAGAAAGATTACACACACACACACGTACACGTATGTGTCTAAGAATATAGTTTGATAAAGTAATTCCACGTGCCGTGTTTCGTTTACTCCTCGTAATAAAAACTTGTGAGACAGATTATTCCCACTTCGACCACAAGGAATCTGAAGCCCCAGTAGGTTAGCGACTTGCCCAGTATTACCCAGCCAGCTGGTGGCAGAGTCAACCCTGAACTTCACCTGTTCTACTGTGGTCTGTTGCTTTTCATAGAGGAGCTGCTTGGGACCCAAGTGGGGCTTTAGTTCCAGGAACGGTGTTGGAGAGAGAGGGGTGGAGTTTTGTGGATTCCTGGCCTCAGCTATAGTGTTGGTACTAAGTCTGACCTAATCTTAAATCTCAAAAACATTTGTTTCCTTCTTTCAGTTTATTACCCTAGGAATAGGATTTTTCTCAATAGTTTTAATCATGCTACATATATAATTTACAAAACTATATTGTCATCCTTTAAAGTTTTCCTGTTATTTCATAATCTCGGTAATCATTGTTTTCATCACTACATGGTATATTTCAGCAAGGAGGAAAGTGCACAGAGAGGTATGGGGTAAAGGAACAAGGATAAACACAGAAATGGATGAACTATGACGATGTATATTTTATTTAACTATTAATTGTGAATAAAACCCTTCTGTGTTTCGAGACAAGGTAAGATGTATCAGTATTCACAAATATAAATGTGTTAAATTTACCAATTTAAAGACATACCTTATCAGACTGGACATTTTTCAATTAGAGAAACCTGAAGTAGAGTCATACCAGAGGTTGAGAGTAAAGGGCAGGAAAATATATATCAAGCAAATACTTACTAAAGGAAAGCTGGTAAAGCAATTATTAATATTAGATAGAATAGAATATATGGAAGAAATATTAACTATGAATAAAGAGGGATAATACATCGACCAGGATGCTTTATGACTTAGGAATTTTAATGTGCCCAACATCATAGCCGTAATGTAGAAACCAAAACTGAAGAAATAAAAGTTAAGTTTGACAAATTCATAATCATAGTAGAAGATTTTAAATGACCTCAATCGAAAACCAATGGATTAAGCAGACAAAGTGAGTAAAGATACAGGAAATCTGAAAAATATGGTTAAGAGGCTTGATTATGTTTATGTTTAAAATGCTGTAAGTGTGTGTGTGTGTGTGTGTGTGTGTGTGTGTGTGTGTATTTCTGTGTGTTTGGACAGACAGACAGACATATACATAAATCCTGTACCCAAGAGCTGGAGGTATATAGTCACACGGAATAACTTAAAAAAATAAGGGGCTTCCCTAGTGGTTCATTGGTTAATAATCCGCATGCCAGTGCAGGAGACACGGGTTTGAGCCCTGGTCCGGGAAGATCCCACATGCCGAGGAGCAACTAAGCCCATGCGCCCCAACTACTGAGCCCGTGTGCCACAACTACTGAAGCCCACATGCCTGGAGCCCATGCTCCACAACAAGAGAAGCCACCTCAATGAGGAGCCCATGCACCGCAACAAAGAGTAGCCCCTGCTTGCCGCAACTAGAGAAACCCTGCGTGCAGCAACGAAGACCCAGTGCAGCCAAAAATAAATAAATAAATAAATAAATTTTAAAAAAACATGTTGCCCACGTACTAGGTGACAGTTGAAGTCGTAAACAAATGTCAAAGAATCAGTAACATTAATAGAACCATGCCTGACTACAATGTAGTTGATGTAGAAAGCAGTAAGAAAAGGATACTAAAAGTTTCCATATCCTCAGCCATCTAAAAATTCACAACTATAGATTCATGGGTTAAAGAGAAATATTAGGATGTATCTCAAACTGCTCGGGCATGGGGGAAATAGTCACTTTATTACGTAGGAACTTGGTCGACCCACTTAAGTTGTACCATCACAGTTAACATTAATAAAGCAAAATGGACGGGATGCAGCTAAAAAAAAGTACGGGCCATACACTTCGTTTTAAATATATTATTAAAAACAATTAAAACCCTGCTAAAAGCAAACAACATTGTTCTCAAAAGTGGGAATTGGGTTGTATAGTTTTTAGTAGTCCCAAGTCTTACAAAACAGACACAGCACCTGGAATAGCAGAACCCCAAACCACAGACAACTCCAACACCCTGGCTGACAGCGTCTCGCTAAGCGCTTCACCGCTGGCTGGCAGATCTGCACTGTGTCAGAAACTGAGACGGTGGGGGAAGCCAGGGGCCGAGAAGAGGAGAACTTCCTTAGGAGTCTCCCAGAGAACAAACTGTGGGAACCAGATTGACTAGAGGGGTTTGACATTAAGTCCTGGTGGTAACACTGTTCACCAGTGGCCACTACCATCACAGAAAGCGGGGCAGTCAGACTTACATGTCTCCTGATGGAAGAATACAATGCCACCTGTGAAGTCCTGCCCAAAACTTTGGACCTAAATCAGTTCAAATAGCTAGATCCAACAACCAAATTTATAGGAGATACAGAGGACAGAGAAACACATTAAACTATACCATGTAGATGTGATAAGCAAAATCCAGCCTGACGAAATTCTACAGCAGTGTTCCTCAAGATGAGATCTGCGTAATGAAATAAGTACAAGAATCAGAAGTAAGTGATTAGAAATGTTTAGACCGTCATAGTCAAGCCTGTTGTCAGAGGACTTCTGTGGCTCTGCATGCAGACTGGTCCAGGTGTTCCCAGATGCTCTTGGTGAGCTGCATGTGCTCAGTCTGGGTGGTGGTTTTGTGCAGTAGCACCGTGTATCATTTCGAGACCGATTAGAAATCTAAAACTGTCTCTTTACCGTAGACAGTTTGAGCAGCACTGCTCTACAGGATAAATGATTCAGTTTCTTCAAATAAAAGCAAGGAAAACAAAAGGGGAAGACAGTGGATGGTGCCTATAGCTGAAAAGGACAGATCTCAGTCACAGTGTGTAGATCCTGTCAAGAGAAAACACCTTTCAAGAAAAAAGATTTGAGACCATTGGAAATTTGAACACCAACTGAATATTTGAATTTAAGGAGTTCTTTATTTTTACTTTTCTAAGGTATAACAATGGTAGTGTATTTTTATACAGTCATTCTCTTTCAGAGATACATATTGAAATACACATGAGCAAAATGATGTCTGGATTTTCTTCAAAATAATGGGGGGTAGGTGTCTGGGGGTGAATGTAAGAGGATTGGTCATGAATTGTCAATTATTGAAGCCGGGTGTTGGATACATGATGAATCCAACATTATCCTTTCTATTTTTGCATGTGTTTGAAATTTTCCTAATAAAAGTTCGAAGAAAAAGACTGAAGGAAAACATTGGGATCAGTCAGTCTGTCAATAAAAAAAAAAATTTGCTGAACATGAACTGGGATCCGGGGCTGTAAGAAGGTATCACACAGTCATGAGGAGGTCCCTGGTTTCACGGGGAAGA